TGATGTCTGCTGTATTCGCAGCTTTACAACACTTGCATCTTAGAAGAAAATATTCTTCTCCAAATGCAAATCTGCCTCTACGCTTTTCCTCAACGTCGCATCCTTGCCTCCTGGATGACGTGTGCCAGATTTGGGCTCCCCTCACGCGAAGCTCAGGACGACGCTTCCTTTTCTTAATCTTCACACCTACTGAAGTCATCTGTATATGGAACATGGTTCAGTCATTTAACCTTATTTGTGCGTTAGGGCCAATGCTTTTTTAGGCAATTCAAACGCCGTTCTTGCTCTTTCGTTACAACAACACTGACCTGCTGAGAGATGGATTTTTGTAAAAACAGATACTCCTTTGGAGACAAAATATTTCAGATTTTCAGCAGTACCTTCCGTGTGAGTTATTACACAGAAGTACAGCTTCCATTCGAATTTTTGTTGTGCCGTTAGGCAGGTCACAGCGACATGCAGAGGTAAGATGCACGTATCAGACAGCATGGCCGTAAGTCTCGCATGCTCTGACATATACGTAACAAAACGCAATGCTGTCTTTATTGTTCGCAAAGACTGCTACTGGTTCATCAGGTAGTGATGCCAAAGTACCGTGGAGTGAATTCCTTGTTTAACCGTGCACCTCTGAACTGCAAAGCAAACTACTTATCCACTGCACCACCCCTCTGACGTATTACGGTTCAACTCAGTACCCTAGTCTGATGTATTTTTGAACCACAGTGGGATCTAAATACTTTGAAGAAATAGTCTACGTCATAATACCATAACGTGTAGTACTATGTCAATGACATAGTACCTCGGTTTCGGTACCTGTAATACATATTGGCCGCCTGGTTGACCTTCGACAACAGCAACGTTGTATTCGCCTTGTAAAAACTGGGGTTCGTGGTCATTCACATCATGAACGTGCACAATTACGGTCGAATAGGCAAACACTGGCTGACCAGGTTGCTTCGTACCCTCAGTCACTGCCTCGACGAGCAAAACGTAGTCGCCGGGCTGCAGTTTCATTGATGAAGACAAAATGACGGTTCCTACAAAGTAAACACTGACTCTCGTCGATTTCATTGAAGCCAATTCAAAACACTAGCCTTGGCTAGGGTCGATAGTGAAAGCCTGAGATCCGTTGCCGGCAACGATTTGGTAGGTCACCTGCATATGCGACCCGCTTTGCGAATGAGCTCGCAGCGTCGCAGTGACAGACTGCGATTTCATGTGCTCACTCATGTTCGCCTCATACAGTTCGTGATCAAATATCAGCTGTTCCTTAGGTTCGTCATCATCATCATCATCACTCATCAAAATCGTCATCACTGAGGTGGCGTTTCTTGGAGCGATACCCTTGTCACTTGCCGTGATCAGTAGGTGAACCACTGTTCCAAACATTTGCGATATTTCTTTGGTGGCACTGATGACTCCCGTATCCGGGTTTATGTTAAAAAACGGACTATGGCGTAACAGACTGGAACAAGAAGTGATTAGGTGAATAGGGTCGAAATGATAAAACGTTCCAGTACCTGTAATGCAATTCCGAATTTGGACCGGGGCCGTCAGCGTCGGTAGCTTTCACTTTCGCAACTCGCTGTCCTGGCAGAATTTTCGATGAAACATGGACAAACGAATGACTGTCTTGAAACACGGGCGAATTATCGTTCACGTCAATCACCTGCACCGTGACTGTTGCCGTCTGAGAGTGTCGTCTGCCCAGACCCATGTTCACTGCTTTGATCTTCAACGTGTACGAGTCTCTGACTTCAAAGTTCAACGGCCTAAAATGCTTTCAGTAAACATTTTTTGTCGGCACGAATCGTCGATCGATCTATCACCTCAAAGTTACGATTTCGCCCGTATTTGGTCGCACTGCAAAGAGTCCGGACGTCTCGTTTACGAGACTGTAGATAATTTTTGCATTGAGACCATCGTCCGCGTCCTTCGCCTTTACAGTGACAACGACGGAGCCGAGCGTAACGTCCTCCCTCACCCGCGCAGCGTAGTTGCTCTTTTCAAACACAGGGTCGTTATCGTTCTCGTCCAGAACTTTCACCACCACAGTACATGAGTCGCTGTGGCGGACCGAACCGGAATCGGTAGCTAATATTGTAAGGTTGTATAGCTGTTGCCGTTCTCTGTCCAGCGGTTGACAAGACAATGTACCCGTCGACGAATCGATGTGAAAGTCACCATTCTGATTTCCACCTAGAAAAGACGATTAATTAAAACTTGTTGCTTTCCTTTCAGAGCAGACCAGCGAAACGGCGACGTACTTGATTAGCATGCCTCATTCTTCACAGCCATTCATTTTTAAATAATTGTATTAACTATAACATTATCATTATACAAACCCTCTTCCTTTTGAAAATGACATTCAGAAGATATCATAACTCATCCATTCTTTTGCTTGTTGCCAAACTGAAATTCATCCCTTGGCTAAAGAGCGCTGCCAACTGCAGCGGAAACCTAGTCTTGTCGTGTGGAAATATTTCAAGTACAAGTTTTCCACGGTTCTGCTGAACAAATTAATCAAAACCTAGAAAGCAAAATTTGTTCATCATCAGTCTATTTCCATTTCCTGATGAATGAAAACCTCGCCAAGACTTTACCATAAACTGTGTTTTACGTGCCTCTTGTTGATCCTGATCCAATCAACTTCTTCAGATCATTATTTGATCAATGTCCAATTCCTCCTGCAAGTCGTCCACTGCCTCAAACAACCCAATGTAATGTTTATTTAATCTAGCCGTGATTGATTCTTCTCGCAACGAGTCGTGCCTATTGCTATTCGAACTTCTTTACTCGAGCAATGACATCGCAGACTAATGTTTGTGGTATTACCCTTACCTATTCATTGATCTTCCTATCTTTTATCATTATTCTCTACATACTCCTTTACAGTGCGCTATGTATTCTCTAACATTCTATTATGAGAACAGAACATATCGGCTGTTCCATATGGACTGAACTGTTTATATGGACATTTCGAAATAACTCTATGGTAATTTCTTCGACCACTGATTTGGCATGAACTTCCATTTTATTTAAGTAAATATATTATATCATACGTAACAACTACTATTAAAGACCTGCGACAAGAATTGGTCTTCACCACAACTGAATAGAATGACTAGTATCATTAATTATCCGAATTTACGCGGGAATCTCACAACGCAACGTAGGGGCTCAAACCTACAGGCTTTGGCACACCTAAATGCAGAAATGATCGGGCCAAAAAACGGTGCATAAATTAATTTGCTTCTATAATTCATTTGTTTCTTCAAAAATGATCCTGATCAATTTTAAGAACGCAAATTCACCGTGTATCATGAAAATTTAGCAAGTCAGTACAGTAATAGAGGGAGCATAAACGTCATTGGCAGCAGTTTCAAAGGGACACAAGGGGCGTAGCAAATACAGGAAAGTGGTTACGCTTAAAAGCCGCGGTGCAAGTGCATTCTAAATTACAAGGCAAAGGCATGATGTAAACATTTCTCCTTCAGTCAAAACTATACAGTTTTAAAGACCAGCCACACTCACCAGCAATGCTGTAGAAAATTTTGCCGTTTTCACCCTGGTCCGGATCGACGGCGATCACCCGCTTGATGACGGGGACACGAATGTTTTCCCGGATTTCCACTACGGGATCACACAACTGTCGGATTAATATTGGCGCGTTATCGTTAATGTCCGCGACGTTAACCACAACCACGGCAGAGTCGTAGAAATCAGGATAGTTGCTGCTACGGACGATTGCTAACAAAATGATAATTGAAGTTAAAGATTCTAAGTAACGGACCACAAACAAAAATACGTTAAAACTACACAGCAGGCTTAGATTGATTATTACGCATTTGAAGAAATAACTCTCTACAAATCGCGGCTACGAAGGTTGGACAACATCTAAAGAGAGGGGTCATAAAACAAAGAGTAAAATGTGATGCGTTCACTATGGCCGCTACGGTAGCCAGTAAGGCTGTCATGAAACGGTCAGCTACCGATTCAGTGGCAGCCACGATGAGGCCTACGCTTTTGATTGCTTACGATGATTATTATGTCAATAAATATGAAGATGACTGCAGCCAAGAAAGAAGACATATGTATTGATATCTCAAAGGCAAATCTCTCCACGTGAAAGTAGTCTGCTGCAAAAATCTTGGCCTAAATACTGTGGATCATTTTTCATATTTTACCTAAAGTAGCAAACCGATTCCACGTTTTTCAGATTACTATCCACTCCATAAACAGAGAATGGAGACGCTCAATAACTGACCAAAGCAAGATCGAAACGTTGCACAGATAAAATTTGGAAATGAATAAAAAAGGACGTCACTCGCTCTACCTTATGACTAAACGTGATGAAATAAACAAATAAAAAAGATGATGAATAAATGTACGGAACTTTTAGATACCTGTCAATGTATACTTGTCTTTCATTTCCCTGTCTATCGATTCAGCAGTTCTTACCAAACCAGTGTGAGAATCGATTATAAATCGTTGGTCCCCATCTTCTGAAAAGAGTGTAAAGTTCAGCTCAGCATCGGAGCCTATAAGACGGATGAATCATGCTTTCAAATTTTAAATCCTTGACGCTGCTTTCCTACCTTGTCCGGTGGTAAGAACCTCCAGTGTTGTAACTTCAGTTCCAACAGCACAATTCTCGGTGACGTTGGCGGTGAATACGGCATATTTGAAGAAAGGTGCGAGGCCGCTGACCCGTTTGAACTCAACGGTAATGGTCTGAGTAGACGACAGAGGTGGATCTCCATGGTCCGTTGCCATTACGGTTACCTGCTGCTTCAGCGCTTCATTCGAACCAAGTTTTCTTTGAACAGTCAGAGAGCCTGAAAACCACATAAAGCATTCAAAACAATTCAGGATAGCTTCTTCCATCTTTTGCATGTTGACAACAGTTGATTTGCCTCAAGTCAACCGGTCAAACATTTGTTTCGCTCTGTCATCTGATTTTTAACCTAACCACATGCACACATTCAATCAGCTATGACAAAATTGTAACCACTGAAACCCACTCTAAGTAATGATATTTGGATATCTTCATACCTCGTACGATGTAATTAACCAGTTGGTCATCGAATTCGTTCTACGACTTAATATCTATGCTTTGTAACAGATTCCGTTGATTCGCTGACATACGGCTTCGACGCACTAAGTCTCTAGAGTAACCGACTTGTCTCATAATTATATGCTCTGATTTCATTGATTCAGTTATTTCTTATGACCCATGCATGAGACAGGATACTCCCAGTAGTAACAGGCATTCACTGAATGATACATGCTCAAGAATTTCATCCACTCGATTAAGGCCATCGAAACTGATTGACTGATTAAAATTATGAACAAGCTATTTCCAACCGCTGAAATATTGGTATTCCTTATATCTTCATGATAGGACCACTTCTGACACTCTTCTTTTACTGAAGATAACTGTGGAACGCTGGTCTCCATTTTTATTCTTTCATAACCGGAAACGACAGCAGCTATTGGCAAACATAGTGTGCAGTCTCGTGTTTCCTTCGTACAGGATGGTACTGATTCATCAGCCTCAGACAGAACAAAAACCAGGCTCGAACCCGGAACCTCTTGGTTCTGAGTCAGTTTTGACTTTACAAAAATTACCACTCAGCTAACCTGTGACAGAATCGATGAGGAAAAGTGAATCTGTGGCATTGACGATCGAATATGATAGACGTGCGTTATCCATCCAGTCGTCATCTTTCGCCACCACGTACAAGATCGGCTCGGTGCCGAGGCTGCCTTCGTAGAAGACGCACGAGTCGTTGCTTTCGAATCTCGGATGGTTGTCGTTGACATCGATTACGTAGATTCTAGTGGTCACGGTAGCACTCTTGCGGTTGGTCACGTTCGGAGCCTGGTCAGTGGCCCTGACGATGACTAGGTGCATAGGTGCCTGCTCGTGGTCCAACTCCTCAGCAAGGATCAGTTCACCGGTGGTCTGATCAATAAGGAACGCGTTCTCGGGATTTTGACGAACGATGTCGTACTCGACTCGGCCAAAGCTACCGGCGTCCTTGTCGGTGGCGTTGAACGTCCAGACGGAGGAGCTCAGTCTTGCATTTTCAGGAATGGAAAAAATCACTGGGTCATCCACAAACCATGGCCAATTGTCATTCTCGTCCGCCACGTACACTTTAACATTGATGAACTGAACCGATGGCAGTCGGCTGCTGGCGTTGGTCCGCGAGATTTTCAGAAAGTGGCTGTCGGACAGTTCGTAATCCAAGTTTTTCACAACGAATAGTTCACTGGTGAAACGATCGACGTCGAACAGGCCAAAACTGTTGCCGGCTACGATATCGTACAAAACATCCACCATCTTCCTCAAAGTCTGCTCGTCCATCGCTTGCACGTCAACTGTGGAAGAACGATCGCGATCGATCAGACCGATGCTCGTTCCGACTTCTACCTCTTCCGATACCTCAAACACTACTACGTCGATAACCGTTTCATTCTCTGGCACACCTCCATCGTCATCGACATCCACTACTTCGATGATGACGCGTTTCACTGCGCTTTTCGGCGCTTTACCCAGGTCTTTTGCAACGATGTCTATTTCAAAGAACTTTGCATCACTTTCGTAGTCAACAACTCTCGTCGTGGTGACGATGCCAGTCAAGCTATCAATCGTGAATGGAAGTTGAAGTCCGTCTGCAGGTGACCGGATCTCGTACCTCACTGTTCCGTTCTCGCCCAAATCCGAGTCTCGTGCCTGTGCTTGTAGAACTTCCACGCCCTTGTTTTGTTCTTCTCGCAGAAATACCTTCATCTGAAGCGGAAGAACGAACACCGGGCTGTTGTCGTTCACATCTTCGACCACGACTTGAATGTGGCACAGTCCTTTCAATGAAGGAGATCCTCCATCCATGAGAACCACGTCCAAATCGTACTGAGGTTGCCGTTCCCGATCCAGGTGTCCACTGACGTAGATTTCACCGTCAGTGTTTACACTGAATGCGGAACTCGAATCGTTCAAAAAATAATGCACTGTCCCATTAAGGCCTTGATCAGGGTCATACGCAGTAATTTTGCCTACCAAAAATCCTGCACCTTGGTTCTCCGTCACCGAAAATTTTTGAACACCCTCACATCGCGGAGCGTTGTCGTTCACGTCTGTGACGGTGACCGTAATTTCAGCCGTGGAAAGGTGCGACGGTCTACCATTATCCTTAGCAAATACTCTGAAAGTAAACTGAGAGCTCTTTTCTCGATCCAAGGCTCGGCGAACGTACACCCAACCAGTATCGCTGAAAATCCCAAAATGTGCCATGTCTTCATCGTCGCCGATGTTCGACTGCTGCTGAATTCCGTAAGAGATTTTCCTAGAATAGAACAGAAATGCTACTGTTGACAAACATTCAAAACTACAACCAACCCTTGCTGAAAACGAAACATTCGACAAGGAGTAACAAACAAAACAAAAGCAAAGTAAAAAATACAATAAATAATAGATTTTGTAGATGTGCGACAGTGAAACATGGTCGTCGCAAAATCAGCTTAGGATATTGAGAAAACCATTGAAAGAAGTACGTCAGGGATTTCAGTAGGCGACCACGTGCTCAGTACAGCAGTCAAACAGCTAAATAAAAGATATCATCGTGGAAATCACGAAGAGCAAAATGCGATGGCTGGCAACATGGCTCAGTTCAACGATCACTGATGCAGGACAATCATCCTTGAGTGGAACTTGCGGACTCGTTCAAGACCGCACGATGAACCTCAGAGTTCGTATTTCGAAAAGGAAGACACGAATGAGAGAAAAATGAACGATATTTTATTACTGACGTAATCCGAAAACTGAAAAACGCATAACAACAGTTTATTTATGCACAACTCAAACGAATAAGATGATCATCGGATGACTGACCAGTACTAACGTTTCGGCTCATTTTTCACAAGCCTTAATTACCCGATCCAAATTGTCAATGACACTTTGTCGTATAGCCCAGAGTAACGACTTGTAATGATTTATGTGAGTGATGCGTTACGGCGGTACGTGTGTAAAGAAAATCTAGTTACACTGAAGTAAAAAATTTACCCGTTAATTCCTGTATCTTTGTCAGAAGCGATCAACTGGAAAACATGGCTGGTGACAGCGGCATTTTCAGGTACACTCAGATGATATGACGTATGTGAGAAATGGGGAGCATGGTCGTTGGCATCAAGGACCAATACCTTCAGAGCCATTTCGGCGGATCGAGGAGGGACTCCACTGTCGCGCACAGAAACCACCAGTCTGTAGTTATTCGTGTGCTCGTAGTGCAACCTACGAGTGATGCGTAACTCCCCGGACAGAGGCTGAACGACGAACATGTTGTCAGGATTGACGGATATACCGTAGATCAAGGCGCCATTTGTTCCGCTGTCACGATCACGTGCTTTCAGGGTGTAAAACGGAACCGAAGTATTTTGGTCTTCTGATACCCAGACAGTGTCGATAGAGCTTTCGAAAACGGGAACGTTGTCATTCGCATCTTCGACGATGATGACAACCTGCGTGTAGTTACAACCAGGTTCGTTTTCGACCGACGCTTTTACGCCAAACACGATCATTTGTTCCGTTTCGAAGTCCAGGGGTCGTTCGACCAGTATGGTACCTGTGAATCTGTCAATGACGAAAAGATCTTCAGGGCTGCTATCGGCTATGGAATATGTGAGTATGTTCGAACTTTGAACGGAGACCCGTCCGACCAACGTCCCGGGCTTGGCATCCTCCCGGACGTGGAACTCGTACATTCGCTGGTCGAAAGATGGGTTCGGAAACTCGTCGGTCAAAACCGTCACAATGACATCGGCAAGAATGGACGAAACCAAGCCACCGCTGTCCTTTGCTTGGATCTTCAGTTGGTAAATGGTAGGAAATAGCTTGCTTCGCACGTAAACTTCTCCTAAAGTGGTCAGCTTATAGAAAACCAAAAAATCATCACCTAGTCACATAACAGCCTTTGAAAATAAGATTCGCTTGAATTGAACAATTTGACGCTAACATTTCTTGCAATATCTATGGCTTTACAGCATTTACTGCAATAACCGCTACAACGAGTAATTCTTGAATAAATCGATGAAACCTACTAAAAGCATGCTTTGTTTAAATCATGCATATATTCCAGCATGTAGAACTCATAAAAATTGATTACACTGCCTGTAATAACGTTATATTTTGTTCAATTTATGACAATGTGAGGAGTATACGAAGGCAGGAGGAGGGTACAGTAACTGAATAACGTTAGTTATATGTACTTTTTTAATCATTGTCGGAGCTCAACGGCGTTGAAAATGCAGAGAAGAATTTTTAATGATGATAAGTTAGCTTTTAAACAGATAATTTCAGTAGCTCATTAAGGTAAAGCAATGCAATAATTAGTGCAATTAAATTAAACGACATTAGTTCAAACAGGCAGAGTGATTTGACAAGCACCTTAACTGCGTTTGCTGGCATCATCTAGCTTACATCAATGCTGATATTAAAAACATAAACTAAAACATAAAAAAGCAAACTCCAAAATCAAGTCAACAGACTCAATCATAAACTCATGCTATCCACGCTCTGATTCGAGAACAAATTCAAAATTATTTCAACAACGTCGAATAGCTATTCTTAGCTATATAAAATTGCAGCTGAGGTAACTGGGCAAAAAAACTGTTGGCCCCTGATAGCAGGAAAGACGCAGATGAGCTATCCATTGTTGTTTGAATATCAGCATGCTATGATTAACAGCTCGAATACGACGGAGCCGAGACCTGCACAAATGGCTTCCTAGGCAATTAGAAACAGAGGAGCAGCGTATTGCGCCGTAAAATCTTTCACTGTCGAAGTTACGCGTTGTCTAGCGTACCTCGACTTAACAACATGCTTAAATGTTTATGCAGTAGCATATGGTAAGTACCAGGTCCTGAAACGCTGTTCTTAATGAGCGCAAGGTGGCCCTAACTAAAATAATTATGCGCGATGCACCTGCCGCTGTAGGTGCTCAAACTGTCGAGCAGTGGTCTGCTTAAACGCCCCCTAGTCAACAGGTAGACAGGGCAAAACATCGCAAAATCTGGTCTTGAAGGAGGAAGTTTTGCGTTAAACAGCAGCATCATACCAAAGGACCATAAGACAATTCTTAGTATTCGTTATTCGAAAATGGTAGGCAGACAATGAAATGTCAAAGATGTAAACAGCAGATGCTAAGCTTCTTTTCGCAAGCTCAAATTCTAACAATCTTACCGCATACCGCATAACTTAGACAACATTTAATCCAATCATCAACAAGAAATTTTAAAATGAAATAGCGATACTTTAATCCAATTTATATCCGAATCAGGTTAATCTATTTACCATCAAATCTCACAATCATGAAACGAACCAAATTTTGATTTTAACATGCAGGAAACAAGAATATTACAGTAGCTGCAGACAAGATGTCTGGGCTGACTGAACAAAGACCAACGAATAAACTACAAAACTGACAGGCTAAGGAGACCATGCAAAGTCAATATTGTATGTTCAGAGAAGATGTCCTATCACGAATACTACGCATGCTACCGAATAGGCAATCTACAAAAAATTGTGCTGAAAAAATTTAAAGAACAAAAGTTTGAAGGCACGTATAATTTTGTGCCTCATATATGAAAAATTAGGACATACTCCGCGTTGCGAAAGGAGATCACAAATACTCAACTAATGATTTCACCGTTCAAAATGTACCTGTTCGAGAATCGATGCGGAAAGAATCTTCTTCATTTCCAGAAGTAATTTCATAGGAGACTACTCCATGCTTGTCACTGTCTGCATCCTTGGCAAATACTCGCACAACCGGTTCGTTGAAAGGGTTCATCGTCCTGAGGCTGATGTTGAAATGGATCGGCGAAAACGTCGGCGCGTTGTCGTTACAGTCTTCGATGTCTACTCTGACTACCGCGTATCCTTTCAAATCTCCTAGAAACAACTTCCAATGCAGTTAAGTAAAAGACACGAACGGAACATTTCCAACAAAGATGGAAAATATTTTACTGAAATATTTACATACGAAAAATTCCTGTTTTAATGGGACCAAGCTTACATTAGAGTTATTCAATCTTCATGTGAAATTCGCCGATACTTCGTTACTTTAATAATTAAACAACATTTTCACACTGAACCTTATTTAGTATCTGTTTATTCCTCAGGATCGCCTTAATGTTAGTATTGAAAACTGGAAAAAAATT